ACGATGACGTCGGATATTCGCATTAATAAAGTTCTCCCGGCTGCGGTCGCGTGCTTTGTGATTTGCCGTAATCTCGAATTACCTCTGCTCACGATGGAGCCGAATTGCTGGATTGTTACGCAAAATTATCGAACGCTCGAATAGCTTTCATCGCTTTCCCAGGAATAATTGCGGAAAGCATTTCTGCCGGTGCGTTTGTCATAACGAGAGCTTTCTATACCGCTGTGAAATTTCAAGTATGTTCGTATCTCTCCTCCGGATTTATCTCCCCCTCTATCCGACGCGTGTCACTGCACACTGCACGGGATCGTATCATTAGCAACTGAAACGCGCTGCTGCAAAGCTCCGACGGAAATTGTTACGGCGGGTTTTTTTTCTCGCACCGCCGGAAACGGCACAGCGCGTAAGTCGTCGGTATCTCATCGCGAAGAGATAACGTATCGCTGACAATCGCAGCACCACACCGTTGCTAAATTTCAACGGAAATTTTTTCTTGTTGTTGCGCGGAAACTATCCAATTATGTAAACTGTCGCGGGTATCGCGTCGAGCACGTCGGGTATTACGTCGAAACCGCATCAGCAGCAAGTGAAACGCGATATTGTAAATTTCAACGAAAGCACGAGTTTTTCGTTGCGCCAAAGCGTCGCCCAGTCGTCGAATATCGTCGAACACGTCCGTCACCCCCGTCGTCTGTCGAGACTACACGCGTGACGCACCCTGTAATTCGACATTCGCAAACACGACCGCGCATTCCTACTGACGTACCCGCGCCCCGAGAGCTATCGATATTGCGCATTCTTAACATGGCGAAGTAAGAGGGAGGAGGGGGGAGATGAGGCGAGGCGATTGAAAGTAAAGTCCATTCAGCCGTTTAACGTCCGCGCGAAGAAGGAGCGTAGACTCGCCGCCGCACTTTCGGCGAAGTTCCCGAGACCCTAGATTATGGTGTACTCTCTCCCGGTGGCTTCTTCCCGTCCCCTCCCCAGCCCTTCGCCCCGACACCGTCGCGGAAGAGAGTAAAGTTCTCCGGCAGCTCGTATAAGCTAGACTACGCGAGCGCCGTTCTCCTACCTGTGTTTCTTTCACGTTATAGCCCTTCCAGCTAAACTTCCGGGCCATTAATTTACATTAGGACATTTTTCAAGAGCGCACCGGGCTCTCTCCCTCCGTCCCCCCTCCCCCCTCCCTCCTTCTCTTTCTCTCTCTTTCAGCGTACGGTGGATGCGCGCCTTAAAATTGGCGGACTCCTCTTTTTAACGTCTCTCCTCTAACACGAGCCAAGCGAGAGAGCCCTCGAATCGCCCCTTCCTTCCTCGCAAGTTGCCCCTTGTCGACGTCACGCTTGAATTCTTCAGCATTAAACGACGACGCGACGGTAGAAAAAGGAACGAGCGGAGCGTATATGAGATAACTTCAGAATTTCATTTAACGATGCGCGCTCGCGAGCGCGCGGACGCGAACGGACGGACGCGTGCAGCACGCGGAAGGCTCTCTCTCTCTCTCTCTCTCTCTCTCTCTCTCGCGCCCGGTCCCTCTTTCTCTCCTCCCTCAGCCTCCCTGGCGGTCATTAAATCACGCCCGTGGCGAGTCCGTCGTGCGACTTGATTGATTTGTAAAGCGGCCCCGTCGATGCCGACGGGAAATTGGCGTTACTCTTGAATTCAGCGTGTTTACGTAACCGTATAAGTGCTACATATATCACTTTATAATTTCATTACGCGTACGGTGCTACGTACGTACGTAAGTTGCGCGCGGTGGTCGCGCTCGCTCCGCTCGCGTCAACATTGAAACAACGAGCGCGAGGCATCGGCTGTCGCTAAATAATTTATTAACTCGTAAAACCCGAAGTGACGTTAGCGCGCGCGCGTGTGCGGGCGAGCATGTCGTGTCCGCTTTTGAATTCCTGCTCCATTAAGCCCGCGCGGTCTTGGGGAGAGCTTGAGAACTCCGTATATCATTCTTGAAATTTCATTAGCGGCTCGCGCCATTAATGCAGGATACGATAAATATATAATGCGGGATATACGTTCTGTCACTGAAAAATTTATTCACTCGTAAAACGAGCCGGTCGGTCGCTATCGATAGTTGGAATGTTGACTGCGCGCGAGAAGGAAAGAAAGAGAGACAGAGGAGGGGCGGGGGAGAGACACACACACACACAGAGAGAGAGAGAGAGAGAGAGAGAGAGAGAGAGAGAGCGAGAGAGAGAGAGAGAGAGAGAGAGAGAGAGAGAGAGAGAGTTCATCGTCGACAAACGATCGTCGGGAAACGCTCGGACTAATTAACTTCGCGTTATTATACGAATATTCAGTTACTTCCTAGTGGCGAGCGCGGTAACGTACGGCCGATGATCCTACTCGCGCGCGCGCGCGCGCACGAGATGATTCGCGTCGCTCTACCAAAGAGATAACAATCTCCGTTTGTCATAATAGCCGAGCGATAAATAAAAGCTGCGTTTTCCGAGACGGGAGATCGACGGGAGTTTACGGGATTGCATTGTAAAATACGAATGCGCCGAACGTGCGGGATCGTTCTCGGAAAGTTCGATAAGAGAACCCCACAGAGTTAGATATCGCATCGAGCGTAGTCTGTGATCGAAAAAAAAAAAAATCGCTCGTAAAACGGACGCCGGCGTACGAGTTTAATGCTCGTTCGCGCAAACATCGAAATAAAGAGAGACAGATAGAGCGGTGAGAGAGGAGAGAGACGGAATAACTGTCGCTGACATCGTGTCAACGACAACAAATATCCTCCTCCGTCCGCCCGCGGCCATCTGGCAATATTTTCAGCCGTAATGTTTGCATTACGTTCACACAATGCGACGATCGTATGACCGCGCGCGCATGCGCGTCCGTAAGTCCCGGCGATGTAATTTTTTGATAAATTCACGTCGCGTCCAAATGCTCACGGCCGGATATCGGAGAATATAAAAGCAACTGCGCCGATCGAGTTTTCTTGTTCGGCTCAATATGAAGGTAATAATGAAATCGAACTCTTTTCTTGTTACCGTTAAAGGATGACGTACTGTTCCGTTGGAAACGCACGCTTTATACCGTCGCTCTGTTTCCGCTCCTCGCAGCTACATTCATTTCTCATTTCGAACACGTCGATGCTCGGAGCAGAGTTGAACTCGAAGGCGAAGGAGAGAAAATCAACTTATGAAAGCCGGTGCTCGATCTAACAAGTCCCTGTTTAAAGTTCAGGACTCTCCGAGTCGCGCAAAGCGCCGATGACTCCGACGCTGCCAAATTGTGTTTAAACAAAATAGTTTACAGCCGGCTACACTCGCGATGGGATTAATGCCTTTTTAAACGCTTTTTATTATATTCTGCTCTTTTCGGGCGGATAGACGGAGTGTAATCAGGTTTAATGTTTATTTCGTCCGCCGGCGCGACCGTGTCGTAGTTCGAGCCGCGTTAACCGTGTGTCTGCGTGTATGTGTGTGTATGTATGTATAAACGATGCACGTATGTATGCAGGGTGCGGCGCCAAAATCCGAACAAATTAAGCATTTTTTTGAAACATAATTTTTATTGCAATAAATGGAGAAGTTTATAATTATTTTTTTTTTTACTAAATTGTTTGTTAGGTCATAAAAAACACATTTACTCAATATAACCTCCTTCTGCTTGAATGACCGCCTCCATTCTCGGTCTGAAGCGTTTGCAGGCCCGTTTTAATGAGTCACGGTCCATATCGGCGAATGCCGCTTCAATAGCGACTCTCAATGATGCGACGTGAGGATGTCTGGACTTGTTAGTGACCCTTTCAACCACGCTCCGTACATAGAAGTTCAAAGGATTTAAATCTGGGCTGTTGGGAGGCCAAAATTCTTTGAACCAAAACATGTCGACGTTGTCCGACAACCAATTTTGCATCAAATGACTTGTGTGCGCGGGCGCACCCAGCGTCCTGCTGGAAAACATACGGCTTTCCAGACGATACAGTTTTCCATCCACGGCTTCACCACATTTATCAGAACATGCAAATAAACTTCTTTTGTGACATTTTCTCCTTTGTTAAAGAAATGCGGTGGCATGACATCACCCTCACTGGACACAACACTTAGCACGTGAACATTCGCCGGAAATTTCGTTCTGGAAACAATGGGGACATCTTCGGGATCATGGGCGAGCCAGCGATCATTCCTTCGATTGATTTTCGCATCGACAGTCAAAATTTTTTCGTCAGAAAAAAACCTGAGCAGCATTGTTTCGTAACACAAACACAAAAGCAGGTTACAACGCTCAACTCGCTTTGTCCTGGTAGCTTCGGAAAGCATCTGTCTCACTTTAATTGTATAAGACTTGTAGCGGAGGTTCTCCTCGACGATTCGACACATCGTTTTTTCACTCACACCGACAATCGACGACAATTTTCGAATCGACTGCCCTGGATCCTCAAAAATCAGTTCCTGAGCCCGTTGAATGATTTCGGGCGTCCTGACAACGCGCTCCTTCGAGCTTCGAGTTTTCCTTGCCGGTGTTGCAAAACCTTCGTTGGACTTCTCCGACTCGTTATACTTCGCGACGACATCATACACAGTCGATCTTGGGTACCCGAAGAATCGAATGATTTCTGTCGCTGAGCGCCCAGCGCGAACACTTTCGATAGTCACGGCTCTTCGATTATACTCCGCACTTGGTTTCAACATTGCGACTGTTTCGAGGTTATGAATGTTTAGTACATGCGTCAAGCTATTTGGACGCCAAACGCGACCTCTCGAAGCGGTATAGAACCGCGGGAAATTCAAATTGAATTTTGTCCGGATTTTGGCACCCTGTATATGAGTGAAATGAAACGGATGTCACGAAACGAACGTTGTCGCATGAAACTCTTGATATTCCTGACGAAAAGTCGCGCCCAGTTTCTCGGTAAACCGGCAATTGAAAATTTCGGATTTCACTCGGCGACGTATGCGCTCATATATATATACGCGCACACTCGTCGCGCTTTAGACAGCGATTCACGTGAACGAATCTTTGTATTTCTGTTTCAGCACACGCTCACGGGCCACTGCGCAAAGGTGATGGCAGCGAAGTTTCTTGGCGAGCCGTCAAAAGTAGTTACCGGAAGTTATGATCGCACCCTAAAAATCTGGGACTTGCGCAGCAAAGCATGTAAGTGCCGCATTGTTCCACGGATTAACGGAAAACGAGAAACGGCCGTTCCTCTCTTCTCTCTCTCTCTCTCTCTCAAAAGAGACACTCTCGTCTTCGCAGGGCACGAGATGGTGAAAAAATTAACAGTCACCCAACCCACGCGTCTTGCACGAAATATCCTGTGAGACGTCATTCGTCCTCTCTAAACAGAGACGTATCCGCGACAAGTCCGACAAGCGAATTACGCGCGGCAGCGTGAGATGAAACGCGTCTTAGTCAAAGCGCCCTTCATTCGTAAGAGACAATCTCGCGTCTCGTCCGAGCGTCACGACCCACCGACAGCCGCGAGGTGTTCTCATCGCGCAAGCAGTCCCGTAATGCCGAAATCCAACAACGAGCGCGAGGGTAATGCGCGTAACGGGAATAAATACCTCCAAGACGAGCGAAAGAAAATAAGTAGCGGTTCCTTGCGGCTGACATATCGCCGGGCACATAATGTTAACGCGGTACATTCGTTCCGACTCGTAACAGAAGCGAACGCGCCCGTTCTCTCGCTCGCTCGCTCGCTCGCTCGCTCGCTCGTGCCGAGAGTAATGCGCGGCGCTGGCGGTAATCACGTCGCCCATTACCCCTATTAGTCGTTGCATAATGCAAATACACTTACGAGCGTTCCAAGATAATAAAACAAACGGCGAATCTGCATGGTCATTCATATGTATATTCTGTTGCGCGTCGTGCGCGGCCGCACAATGGACCGCCAGGCGAAATATGACGCTCGTAATGTCTGGCCCGACCCAACCCGTTCCCCGGTTCGTTCGTTCGTTCGTTCGTTCGTTCGTTCGTTCGTTCGTTCGTTCATTCGTTTATGCGTGCATGCGTACGTACGGGGTTGCGTCGGCATCGACCACGAAATCGCCGTAATGACGAAAAATTGAAATAGGAGATCGACCTTGCGGTTGTCGACGGCCGTGTTGCGTCGCTGTCGTTACGTAGGGTTAATTAAGCCGACAAGCTCTCGCGCCACAGGAGAGGGGGCAAATTCTCCCCTCCCCTGCGCACAACTCGGTCCTGCGTTCTCCATCGGCACGGGGAACTCTTTATCTCTGGCTATTGACACTTTTGAAGAGACAATCCCGTCGTGCGTAATGTGCCGGCGAGGGAGGCTCACGGCTTAACGCTCGAACGCGAGTATGCCTGACGATAAAAACGAAAAGAGAAAAGAGAGAAGAGAGGGCCAAGTGTTTGCAGTTCAGGAGATCGGCTAAGCAAAAGCCGGTCTCCCTAGCTGCGCGATTCTCCGCGAGCGGGACGACTTGAAGGTGCGACGAGATGGAGCGCGTGAATCAACGATAACAAAGGCGATAACAAAGACGGATTTATACGAGCCAACGAGTGGATCCGTCGGAAGCGGCGGCGGGGCTTAGTCGCGGATCTATTACTCGCGGGAAAGAGTGTCGCCTTAATTAGCTCCTTAAACTAAAACGCGACTTTATCGGGGACAAGCTGGTAGAAGATGGCGATATTACTCAGACTCTCGTCTTCGTCACGTCGTTAATCAGATGTTCACGAGAGTCAGGTCGTTAATCGACGTTTTTTAGGGAAAAGAGGGAAGATCGTGCACGTACGCGCGACTGTCCGCTCTGCACGAAAATGACAGCCATTGTCCGACGTGCGAGCCGCTCGCTCGCCAAGCTCCGCGCCTGGATCCACCGGACCGAATATGGATGACGTGGGAATTACACCCTCCGGCATGCATGCACGCATTCACGTCTCGCCAGCTCGGCCCTCTCCATTAGAATCAACCCCCGTTTGTACCAGAGGACGTCTTACGACGTGATCTAATTTCACGCCAACAACCGCTGCGCTCGAGCGCGCGAATAACGGCGGCGGCGAACGCGATATATCCGAGTGCTCCTTCGGCGACCTTCGCGAGCGACGGAAGCGGCAGCGGCAGGTGTCAGAGGAGGGGGGGGGCCCTACGCAGCGAGCGTCGGGGTCTAATAACCGGCGGGACGGGGCTCTGTCTTTCGAGTCATCGGGAATCCGCCATACCGAATGCACGGCGTAACGCCGGAATCATAACGCGATAATTTACGCATTCAAGGGCGCGAGTAAGGGCCTCCTTCTCGGAAGGCCGTTCCGTTCGCGCGGAATGCGCAGCCACGGCGTTCTCGCCCATCGCCGTCGGGGATTTATTACACTAATTGCCGAGCATTCTTCGAAGAAAAGCGGCGCTCGTGCCGTCCCGTCGTGCGCGGGTGTCCACCTACCGCTCGGACGCGCGTCGGAAATCCTCCTCCGCGAGCCGCTCGTCCGTGAAATGGAGGAGGAATCTTTCAGCGACGCTTTCGGCCAGCGAGATAAGCGCGTCGCGGACTGAAGACACAGGGACAAGGGGGAGGGACGAGAGTGATAATTTACAGCCGGATGAAAGTAGCCGTTTCCGAGGTGGAGCTGCGTACACAGGGTCGGGCGCGATGTCGCCCGTTGCGGAGCTTTAAGAAGCACGAAAAATAAATTGGACATCCGCCGCGCGCAGGAGCGGCCGGACAGCCGCGCCCGACCCGGCCCGGCCCGGCCCGGCGCGGCGCGGCGCGGCGCGGCGCAGATAGTGCACAGCCGGGAGGATCTCATTTCCCGCAAATGTATTCGGGATTTACATTCGACCTCGGGCGCCGGACTAATCTCGTGAAACGGCGCGCTATCTGAAGAACGGGCCGAGATATCGATTTACACTTCGGTCAACAGAGCGCTGCCGGCTGGCCTGCGGCTGAGGCGGCGGCCACCGTCGTCGGAGTCGTATTGACAAAGGATACAAAGCTGCGGGGACTGCTTAACACGACGGTACACAGACGGATAGTATTAATTTGCAAAGTCCAGCTCGCCTTAAACCTCGGTCTTACCGTACAGTGCGCCCGCCGCGCGGAATAATAATCCGCGCGCTAGCTTCCTGGAGCACGAGTGTTCGCGGAATCCCGATCAATCGTCCGCCCGGACCCGCGCGCTCCGCGACTTATCGGAGGAACGTCGTTATTATCTGTCTGGGACGCAATTAATGATGAAAACGAGGTTACCCCCTGACAAGGCAGGTCGCGATTGGCCGCCGCCTGCGCGCTACCTATGAGACACGTGATAAACGTGTCCGCGTAGTACGGCACTTTGAAGCACGCTCGATGACGATGGGACCTCGCGATGAAGAGCTGCGCGGGATCTCTAGTGCGTCGAGCTGTGCGCGTGCGATTTCATGTCCGTGTGACAAAACGACCCGAGCGCAACATCCCCCCCCCCCTCCCCGTCTGTGCGGCTCGCGGCTGACTGCTCGCGCTCTCTCGATTCGATAAATAAATAATTAGCCGGTGGGTGTGCTGGCGCCCGCGAGCGACGAGCGATCTGGCTCGCGGGGAAACGTCTGATGCACGCCACCGCCACAGTGACACGCGAGCTTCCCGCTACCGTGGGCCACCGTGGTTGTCGCGATTTGCTTTTATTGCGAGCCCTCGAAACGAGAGCACCCTGCAGCGAGGATGCGCCCGTCGACACGAATTAAATGCTGAATAAGTGGCGCGATCGTTACAGTAAACCCTCTCGAGTTATCGGTTACCGGGCGAAATGTTTGTTACGTCGAAAGCGCGGCTCGTTTGCGCAAACGTGCGTTTCGCGCCCGAGAGCGAGAGCTCTCGGGCGAACGACTGCCCTTTTTGCAGCCGCGCGACTTGCCGAACAGTCAAGGCGACGCGGGCGGTAAAGCGAGCGGAAACATGCCGTTTGGTAATGCACAAATACGAAATCGTTGCCTCGCCACGATTGCGCGTGAAACGAGTTAATGGCGCTCGAGTTGTCTTTGACAAATGCGCTCGAGAATTGTGCGCTTCTCATATTAACTTAAGATGCCGGGAGGAAGCTGTGGAGTACGAAATTTTCTACAAGCGGGAGTAACAGAGAGAGAGAGAGAGAGAGAGAGAGAGGGAACCATGGCTCTTCACGAGCCACCCTTCGCGCGAGAGCCACGAAGGGCGCAGCTTCGCGAAGAGTGCAGCTCCTTAGATCAAGACAATCGTAGAAATGACACTGCAACGTCGCGGTTGCTGGCGAGGTGGGGGAGGGAGGGGGGGTGGAGGGAATGGCCAAGGGACGATTATTGTAAGAAGTCGCGATGTGCCGCGCCCATCGCAAATCGTCGTCGTCGTTGTCGCGACTGCGAGTTCGCGCAACCGGCCGTCGAACTTGCCGCATGAATGCAAAACTTGCTTTTCACCGCGGCGAACGCACTCGCTGCTCGCCGCGCCGGTGAGCGCGAATTTGTCTCGACCTTTTTGTTCCTCACTCCTCCTCCTCCTCCTCCTCCTCCCACCCAACCTCCACCATCGTCTCTTTTACGCGACGCGGATAACAACAACGGGACGCGCGCAGGGCGCGAAGCGTAATTAACCTGTGGCTTAACTTCGTCGCGTAATTTATAGCTGTCGTCTCTGGCGGTGGGTCACGACGACAGCGGTGGCGGTGGCGGCGGCGGCGGCGGCGGCGGCGGCGGCGGCGGCGGTAGCCGTGAGTCCAAGTTAATTGTGCGCACGTCGCGGCTATGCGGATACCTGCGTGGATACACACAGGTACTCCGAGGACATCCGTTTTAGCCTCGCGGCGGCCTTTGTTGTCAAGCGTGGTCCTACAGCAAAATAGCGAAAACCGCGCTATCAAGGAAGACCGGCGGGGGTCTCGGGGGTGGGAGTTGTACAAAAGTTTCGCGCAAATAAATCTTGAAGCGCGCGCGCCCGCGCTCGGTCACCGGCGCACAATGGGGAAGCGGCGCTGAAAGGGCGTTTAAGCGTGAATTATTGTTTACCGCGGACGCTTTAAGACAAAAAGGCCGCTTAAAGTGGATCAGCTGTTTTCTATCGCGCTATTATCCACGCGGCCGTCGCCGCCACACCGCGCGAGATCCTGTTGAGTGTTCCGGGTCTCGCCTAGTCGGTCGGTCGGTCGGTCGCTCGTTCGGCCGACTGGCTGGCCGGACACAATCGTGTGCCACGGCCAGACTGATCTCCACAACGCACACCTACGCGACCGAAATAACGTCCCGTGTCGTTCGCTACTGAGAGAAAAGAGATGGAGAAAGAGCGAGCGAGAGAGAGAGAGAGAGAGAGAGAGAGAGAGAGAGAGAGAGAGAGAGAGAAAAAGAGAGGGAGAGGGAGAAACAGAAAGGGAAAATGGGAGGGAGAACGTCCTGCGCGCGGCCACTCTAATTGTTCCGCGTTCCGAGAAATTAACCGCCACCGTTTGTATTCGCGACGTATGCAGATCGCGGATCTCCGCGAGCATGATAGGCGAGCGTTCGCGCGATGTACGGTCGCACATGTAGATGGGCCAAATTGGCTCTTTCTTACGTGAAACGTGCGCGACGAGCGTGCGAGCGCAGCCAGTGAAATACTTAATTTTCGAATCAAAGAGATCGTCGGGAAAACGGTAGGAAAGAGATCGCGCCCCGTTAAACTGCGGCCGCGAAGAGAGAGAGAGAGAGAGAGAGAGAGAGAGAGAGAGAGAGGGATCGGCGGCGTCGGGCGTAGCGCGCTGGAGGAGCTACGTAAATGGAAAGTAGCTCGGCAAACTTTTGAGAGAGACGCGTTCGCTCGCTCGCTCGCTCGTCCTCTCCTCTCCCGTCCGCGTCTCCGGACGTGATTACATTTAAATATCGTGCATATAAGACAAATATGCGCCATAATATGAAATACATACTAGTGCGAAGAGGAGTACGAGCGAGAGCAAATTAACATCCCGAAAGCTCTTCTTATCACGACTGACACTTGAAGAAGGCTTACCGCGCAAAGCCGGTAATCCTGTATGCCTCGTTTGAAGGATAGATGCGCGTTAATAGCGTGTATGTATATAATGCACTTACGTGAATAATACATTCGAGTTCAGGGGAGAGTATATAAAGGCCCGTATTGTGCGGATAAAGATATGTCTTGCGCAATGTGTTGCAAAAATCCCGGACTTAAATGTAACAGACAGACGAAAGGAAGAGAGAGAGAGAGAGAGAGAGAGAGAGAGAGAGAGAGAGAGAGAGAGAGAGAGAGAGAGAGAGAGAGAGAGAATTCTACTCTCTGTTCGAATCGGAGCGCGATTTATCGCAGCTTATACGCGGATTATCGACGTTCCGGGACTGCCGGCTTTTCTTTTCTCTTTTTTGCTACTGATACCAACTGATACGAGACTAAACTGAAAAGATTTGTCGCTACAATGTGCGAGCTATCGACACCTCCTCTTGAGTTGTAATTAAAAATCGATTATTTCCGCGGGTGGGTAGAGCAGGATAAGTTTAGTCAGAGAGTGTTCGGCAAGAATATGCACATTTTACACGGCGCTCTTTGTTGTATAAAATGATATTTCTGCCCGTTTTCTCCGATTCGCGATCCACCGCGACAGCGCGTGACGCCGCGTCGCGGCGTGGCTTGCTTAATCGACCGAAAATTGAATCGTTTGCTTCTCCTAGCCTGCACTGTCATTACCGTCTTGAAAACGAACGTCGTTTCAGACTAGCCAAGAACGCGGAATCGCGGAAGGGATTACTCTTGTTAGCGTCCGCGGAAACGTCGTGTTTTTCGCGCGGGAATTTGCACCTAAGGACGAGGCAAGATTGCCCCGCGGCTCGATGATATCAGAAATTAACATCGTCTTGTAGTCTCACAGGTGCATTTTCAGCGTGACGATTAAGTCGTAGGCCGACGTTCTTGTCTTCACCGTCATCATCATTACGACTCGAATCTGAAGTCATCTCAAATGTAAATGCTCGTGCATCCTCCCAAGTTGAGTAAAGTGGCGGTCTCTCTTTCTCTCTCTCTCTCTCTCTCTCTCTCTCTCTCTCTCTCTCTCTCTCTCTTTCTCTCTTTCTCTCCCCTCTCTTCCTTCCCTTCTCTTTGTACCTTTCCGCCGCGCCGCCGTCGCGGTAAGTCACTCCGTCGCGCCAAGATATGCTTTAGCTGCTAAATGATTTTTACGTCGACATTTATTAACCGCGCGTGTCCCGCATATTTTATTGACTCGGCGTTACAGGCGACGCAAATGGCATCGTGACGGTCACTTACCGCGAGATAAGACTGTCCGGCCGAGCGAGGAGAACACACCATGAGCGCGCGGTGTCGAGGCGCGCAGTAAGAATCGTCGACAAGTTTCTCTTTATGCACGAACGCACTTTGAAAGAAATTTTATTGCTTCCAGAGAAGTGCCCTACTCACCGCGTTTGAAGCTTGTAAAGTACTTTCCGCGAAACTTGTGTGTCGAACTACGAGGATTGAGTGTACGCCCCGCGCAAATATCATCGACGTGTAGACCGCCGTGTATACCTGTATACGTCGCCGCCTGGATACAACGACGGTGGCCCACCCCGAGAGCGCCTACGAAATATCAAGAGAGAAAAGCCGGAGAAAAAAGGAGAAAGATTGCGGAGAGCGCGAGATGCGCACTGCCTCGTGCATAATTCGATTCGACGCTCGGGGCACCTATCTCCACGTGCGATTCCATTCGACTCCCGAAATTCGACATCCGCGTCATTCGATCCGAAAAGTTGAATTACCGCTATCGATTACGATTATTGCTTCGATATTTGATTTCGCGCGTTTCCACGATAAATACGGTCTCTCTCTCTCTCTCTCTCTCTCTCTTTCTCCCCCTCTCTCTCTCTCTCTCTCTCTCTCTCTCTCTCCCTCCCTCCCTCCCTCTCTCTCTCTCGATATTATTATCTCGTGAAAATTATTACGCGCGCACGCGCACACACAGACGCCGCTTGAATTATTGTTAGAACATCGTGGAAATTTGTCACGGCTTTGTACGATAACTTTTTATGACGCGCATCCACTATTCACAGCCGCGGTGGAACGCAGCGAGGTAATAATTACGAACGATGCGTCGGCGCGTTCCAATTTAATAATTGATACATTTTCCGCGCGCGGACAATCGCGTTCGCAGCGTTCGGTAATTCCAAGTCTCTCGCCGACTTGCTGCGAACTTTAGCGCAACGTAAAATACTCGCGGCGCAGACGAGCCGTAATTTTAAATATCGCCGTGTGATTATGATAATAATGATACAATGCACGGGCGACGCGACGTACTTCACAGGCGCGGTGCAAACCGTTGGGAAGCGTCGTTCGCGATACTCTGGCGGGATCTCCAATCTCGATCGCGATTCCCGTCGATTCGGAAATTCGACGACGTCGTCGAACGCGTGATCGTAATTGATAATACGCGTCTCGCGACGAGAAGAAGCTTCCTCCCTCCATCAACGGGGATACATACACACACACACACACACACACACACACGCACACGCACACACACACGCACATACTGCCGAAGTAACAGGCGCTCATAATACCATCTACGGAGCGGAACGGTGGACACGAGACGTTAACCGTAACGTCGCGTCGTAGAGACCTGAACGAAGACTAATCGATCGGCCAGTAAATCACGTTTGACTTAACACGCGGAGAACGGCGGGCGCGGATTCGTAATCGCACAAAGGCACGAGGTTAAAGAAGAGTCGTGGCACTCGGCGCGCGGGAATCGGCGATGAAGGAGACGACGGGGAGAGAGAGGCTGTAAGCGGAAAACTCGTAATTTATCCTGTTTCCAGTCTTGATGCTGGACGTTTCCGCGGCGCGCTAGCGATTTCCAAGAGCTTCGCGGAAACGCGGCGACGCGAACGTCATTTCCCGACGTAAATTAAGTTTGAAATCCTGCTTATTTCAGCGTGGAGATCGATGAAAGCTGCCGCCGGGCTGGAACTACAGTTTGAAAGGGGAAACCAGCCGTGATTCACATTCGATACAACTGTTAACTCGCTCCGCTTAAAGCCGGCGCGCGCGTACGTGCAATTCGCGGGGACGTAATTCTGTTACTCATTCCGCGGAATGCTCAAATTAATTTCGGCGAGCGTTTAATTCGGCACTATTGTCACCGTCCTTGGAGAGGACGGATTTTATATTCGGGTGACGGTGCACCGGGGTGCAGGGGGGAAGAGGGCGGTGTATCGGGTGACACTCCCGTCTGTCTCCGCGAAACCGTGACTTTTCGCGATCGCAGTCGGCGGCGCGGCGGCGTGATAGATAATTAGCGAGTCCTTGATGAGTCGTATCGTTCGATCGTTCGATCAATAATGCGTCGTTTATATATATGGGGTGTCGGAATATATGAGAACGATATATGAAACGATGACGACGACGGTGGAACGCGGTCGTTCAACCGTTCTCACGCTCGCCTTAACGTTAAAAGCCGCTCTAATTTTACGTTGCAGGCATAGAGACGAAATTCGCCGGGTCGAGTTGCAACGACCTCGTAACTTCCGACGGGGCCGGCTCCACGATAATCAGCGGTCATTTTGATCAGAGGATTAGGTTTTGGGACACCCGGGCCGAATCCAGCTCGAATGACATCATACTGGAGGGGAAAGTTACATCCTTGGATTTATCCCGCGGTAAGTAGGGTTAGCCGACGTGTGCGCGCGCATTTAAGCCCGGGGATCCGGGACCTTAATAAAAAAAAGTGTAGCGGCGCGAGATAACGGCGAGCCATAATCGGATCAATTTGGGGCTTTATTAAATGTTAATTGAACGCGGTCAGGTCGCGTGATTCACGTGCGGTTTCGCCGGGATTCGTTATGCTGCTTCATTCGCCGATTAGTATAATATCATAATGGCGTAACGTCAGGGCGCGCGGAATTTCTACCCCGTGTATTATCGGACCGCGATCTAATTCGCCGTGTATGTTGCGGTATCGATTAAGGATGCATCGAGCGAAGCAACGAGTGACATTTATCTCGTGATGAGATTGTAATTAATTATTTTTATCAAGACGCTCATACCGTTCGCGACAGCCCTCTAAGCAGCTTGGCCTCGTCGCGCCTCGATCGAAATCGCGAAGTCTCGCACTGGCTGTCGGCTTGGTCCAACCGCGGTTCTTCATTATCATCGTTCGCGATATCAACCGCGGGCTGAGTGTTCAGCAGACAGCGTGACGAGAAAATGAAATTATTGTAATTGCAGCGCGGGTACGCGCCGGCGCGTTATAAATTTCAGATGAATCGCAGCGGACACGACTCATCACCTCGTTTGTCTGTTAAACAATTAATACGATCGAAGTGGATACTAATTGGTTTGTCGCAACGAGGTTAATGCGTGCGATGTATCCGCTCGCGGATCTTCCTGTCGCTTTTTATTCGCGGCCTCTTAATGACGCGAATGAGTCAGCTCGCGCGATCCTGCGACATCCTTCAAACACTCGCATCACCTGTGAGTGCTGTGAATCCTTCTTGCTCAAGAGTGCTTCATTCAGATATATATGCATATATATATATATATATATATATATATATATATATACATATAGTTCTATCGCATTTCGTTAATCTCGATATTGCCAGGACGCGTTCACACGAAGCGAATCTGCATCGCGCGCGGGTTTTTAGACTTTTCGCAGTTTATGTCGCGTCTCGGGAACTCTCTCTTCCTTTCTCTTTCGTTTTTCCATTCTATTGTTCCACCTAGCATATCGCGTCGCTCCAACGCACGCACATCTTCCCCCCGGTCTCTAAAAATCACGATGCGCCATTACAATGCGCAATTGCTTGACGAGCGCGCTTCCTGTATTCGTTCATGCACGCGAGAGAGAGAGAGAGAGAGAGAGAGAGAGAGAGAGAGAGAGAGAGAAGGAGAGAGCGAAACACGGTTGCAAATGGAGCCCCTGGAAGCGACATTTTGCGCGATAGCGGAAAGAAATTGCGTAAACCGATCCAACACGCGCGCATTTCGATGCACTTGCCGAGCGTAACGCGTTTATAAGTTTATCGCGCGTCGCGCTACATTTTTCCGCTCTCGGAATTGTACCGCGTCACTTGTACATTCCGCAGACGCGCTTTTATTAATAATTGCGAACACGCCCGGTGCACACGCGAAATATTTATTCGCGGGCTCGCGCTTGTAACCTTTTACTCGCGGAATACAGGTGTGGCGCTCTCTTTTCTCCCCGATCCTCCTGTGAAAATAGTCGAAATTCACGGCGAACGAGTGAAATATGATAAATGCGATTTATGCGATTGTACGCGATTGTGCGCATTGTTGAGTCGACCGGACGGGAATCTGTCTGATTTCAGACGCGAACTACCTGCTGAGCTGCGTGCGGGACGACACGGTGAAGCTGATCGATCTGCGAATGAAGAAAATCATCGGATCTTTCAGGTAGGTAGCGCGTACTCTCCTCCCACTCCCTCCCCTCCCCCCCCCTTCCCAGTTCCTTGCCATTCATCGCGCGCTCGTACGACTGAAATATTAAGTATATCGATGCACGCATTGCGCATTTTGTTTTTCTGCAGCGCTGACGGCTTCAAAGTGGGTTTCGACTGGGCGAGGGCAGCCTTTAGTCCTGACGGGCAGTACATAGCAGTCGGCTCCGCGGACGGTTCTGTTTTCATCTGGTCGATAGCGACAAATCTCATCGAAACGATACTGAAAGGGCATACGTAAGTAGAAACCCTTGTTTCGTTATAACCGAAGTTTACAGAATTATCCACAACTTCTCGCCGGAAAGAAAAGCAGTTATCGATTTTTAACGACGATAAGGTGCGCGATAAATAAGAGATGCGGTCGCGAGGTTATTAGACGTGTTTGGAGTCGTCGGGAGATGAACGAACGAACGAGCGGAAAACTTCGACGAAAAAAGTCGAACTTATTTATTCTGTTTCGTTAATCGGACTCATTCATATGTAACGTGTCTCTCTTTCTCTCTCTCTCTCTCTCTCTCTCTCTCTCGCTTTGTCCCTTTTTGCGTGTAGCTCTTGGCTGTATTATATATTCTTGATCGAATATTTGGCCTCCTGCCCCAGAGACAAAAAATTGCGACCCTTCTCTCCCGTATCGATTGGAATGTGCAATACTGATATTAAACGGTGCGTCGTATAAAACGGACGTACGAAAAAAAAACCGTTAAATTTTATATGACTTTTTACGGTCGGCGCTGGTCAATAACGAAAAGACGTATTAAAACGCGAAATTTTGTTCCCTCTCCCTACCTCGATATTTTCCCTTCCATCGAATATTGATTTACGAAGAGCTAATCCGAGATATTGAAGACGGAGGTCGCGCTACCAGAGAAAATCCTTCATAAAGTGACGCGCCGTCTTACCTCTTCGCCGTAGCCTTCTTATTGCGGTCTTTATTTCGCGATCCGCGCGGCCGACATGCTGCTTTACATCGCGTCATCGTATTAAAATCCGTGCAATTATTTTATATTGCTATTTGCGTCCGCGATACCCGTTGGCTGCGAATGGAATGTCGCGGCGTGCGACCAGTCTCTTGGAAACAGAGTGTCCTGTCGACGGATTTCATCGCGCGCTTTTTCTCATCTCATCTCATCCCACCAATAAAATATTTGTATGTCGGGACCGTCCACTGAGTTGACGAGTTTCGCAGCTACTTGAATATACGTAGACGTCTGATCATCGATACAGACACACACATGCGCGCGCGCGCGCGTGGCATCAATTATTTTATTAACTTTAGCTGTCAGAGCAATATGGACAGGCAGTGGTCGGGAAATTATCTTCTCTATCGTTGGCGACAACTTTTCCTCGAGATCGCGCCAACGTGTGACTTTATTTGCGGTCACGAAATCGATAATGCCGGTCTCGCCCTATTACGTTCTGTTTCGATATCGCCGTAATAATTTATTTCTCACTCAGCTCTACCATCCCCCCCTTCCCTTCCACTCTTCCTCTCTGCCTCTCCGCCAGCTACCTACCCCTACCTACGACCCCCCTTCTTTTTTCATCGCAATACGTTTCGAGCCGCTTGATGGATGCGAATTTTCCGTTTAAATTCGCCGAGCGGCCCGTAATTTTAGGAGGCACCTTCAAGTGCTCTGCATACCCACCTGACACGAGAACTTCCTGAAGTACTTCGGTCCTCTGGTCCACCACACACAGCGCACACCACCGATTTACACACACCACATACCACACACACACACACACACACACACACACACACACACACACATACACTCATACCTACATGTGAACGTATATACACGCTGCTCCTCGCGCATACGAAGAAAAAGATTCGTGGCGGCAAGCAGCGCGAGGGGGCTGAGCGGAGAGGGCGTCTAAGAAAATATTTCGACGTGACCCGATTTCCGCTCCAACTTTCGCGCTGTATATCCCACGTACACGTATCCGTCCGTATCTATATATCGCCGGATGACTGCGGACGATATCGCGAATTTATACGGCACCCCCGGACGCGCTCCCTAGCTTCACCGACGTCCGTGTCGACCTTTTTCCACTCCCCTCCCTCCCCCCCCCCTCTCTCTCTCTCTCTCTCTCTCTCTCTCTCTCTCTCTCGGTCGCTCTTGCTATTGAACATGTCACTCCGAGTGACCGAGGAACCGCTTACCGTCCTATACGTACGTACCTAACGTGTGGGAAAGGGGTGAGAGCGCGCGTGAATCCGTTCGTGCCGGGGAAAAAGAAACTCGACGGCGGAGGCGGCGACGACGGCTGCGCGGCGCGAAATGAAAGTGGCCAGCGGCGTAGGCGCATATCTCGTCCGCGTGCTTTCAGCGCCCTTTCACCTACACGAGCCGCGTTGATGGACGCGTTAATCGGCGGCATTTCACGGAGAATGCGGCGCAAGGGTGATCGTTCCCCGCTCTGCCGAGATGCAGAAAATCGATATGTTTTAAAATGCTAAAAACGCCAATTATGCTATCCACGGGGGAGCTTGACCGGTTAAACCACGATATTGCCCGCAAATCAATAGGAGGCGCGGTTAACAATTAATTTCCGGATGTATCGCCGCGTTAACAATAACTCCGCGACTCTTGCCGGGCGTCCAGCGATTGGCGGAATCGCGGTAAGTGACGGATCCAAACGTCTTCAGGATTTCCTCGCCGAGAGTGTGCCGATCCGATGATTTCGCGAGTATTCGCGGCAAAGTCATTAATCCGCTAACGCTTCGTCGCGATTTCGTTGGCTGCGTTCAGAAAACACAACGGTTGCACCACGGTTGGAGTAATTCGTCGACGTTATCGGTCTGAGTGTAAAGATCTAACAGTACAAACCAATAGTCGCTAATCGCTCAACGAGCGCTTTGTATTCCGAACGCAACCATTCGCACACACGCGATCGAATTGTACGCCAGACTTTTGGCGTCATCGCGAGGAAAATGTAATGCGAGCGCTGTTCTGCTATGCAGTCCACAATGAGCCGCGCGGAACGCGAAGCGAAAGAAAAACCGCTCCCGCCGTGCGGGTCGCGGAAAGAGTCGCGAGTCGTGATCTCGATGAGAAATAACCTCTAACGCGCCCGTTAAACGGCGAGAACGTTTAGTTATTCTCTTGAATTGAAACATGTCGTGCTCCGTACCGATCATACTATCACGTTCACGGTAGCGGCAATTAGTTATTACGCGCATGTCGGAGCGATTACGAGCGTAAAGCGTTTAATAGCTCATAATTACGACGGCGTATACGTCAACGTGTTCAAATTCAGATTGATAATAGCTGGGCTAATCTCGCTACGGAGCAACGGTCGGGGCATCACCGCTCTTTCGGTCAGGATGCATTTTATATGTCTCTTCGTGTCTACAGTCCCAAGTGTATTTCTCGCTCTCCTTTTCTTTCCTCTCCAATAACCTCCCTTTTCCACTCGTGACGAATAACGTGTATTTCCGATGGACGCTGACTCCAGTCTTCGAATTCCCTTGGGTTTAGCGTGCCGCGAAAAGGTCACTCGTAAAGCGAGCGTAGCAAATTGTAATATCTCCCCGCAATTTCGCGGAGCGAGCTAATTGTTACTCGTGATTACTATCGTCGGACTATTTCCAAACTGCGCGTGAGCTGGGAAACAATATTCCTTTGTTATGTAAAAGAGGCGCGAAATAGCCTCGCGGGCCAGTTTGTTTGGAGCAGCGCCCTATCGCGTTTCTCGCTAAACTCGCTAAATCGACTCGCGTCGCGGGCGCTGATCTCGCGAAAATCGCTGCTCGCGCTGCGTAAACATCCGACGGGAGAACTCGGGTCGAAAAGTCGAGGAATCCGTGCCGAAAGGAGAGTGCCGGTATCTCATCGGATGCTTTCAGCGCCCTTTTATCCACACACGCACAGACACATAGGCACGACGATCGTCTCGGGCGATCGGCCCCACGAGTCCCACGGAGGATCGTAAGATCCGTTCTGCAATTATCGTCGCCCCCCTCCCTCCTTCCCGCGAGCGAGCGAGCGAGCGAGCGAGCGAGCGAACGAACGAACGAACGAGCTCCTCTCCGTCGTCGCAGCGGCCCGACCGTGCCGTCCTCGGCCTCCTCGAGTTTCTCAAGGACGCGGCATCTTCGGTGGTGGCTTCTCTCCGCGAGAAAGAGAGCCCAGCGGGCGGCTCGGCGTGCATCTAAGTACCGGTCGTATCGAAAAATGGCTTAAGCACCAGTCACGTACACGCCGGCACCGGCGTCTGTGTGCGCGGCGGTTCCTCGCGTACACACGCGCAAGCGTGTTTCACTGTTATTACTTTCACCCCGGACCATAGCCGCGGTCATCGTCATCTTTCGTCGTCATCTACGTCCGTTCCCTTCTTGGTTCCCTTCTTCGTCCTCTGGCGCGGTCGCCATCGTCATCGCCATCGCCATCGCCATCGCCATCGTCGTCGTCGTCGTTGTTGTCTTCGTCGTCTTCGTCATCTTCGTCTTCGTCCTCGTCCTCGTCCTCGTCCTCGTCCTTACCTTCGTCTTCTTCGCGGGCGCTGCTCGCGGTTGTAGCGGCGATGGCGGATCGTATAATTCGTACGTTGCATAGCCGTGTACGCATTCGACCGCTCGCTCGCTCAGGAATCCCCGAGACTAACTTAATAAGCGCCTCGCCCTTTCACTCTCTTTTCTCCGTCGGTGTCCTCTTACGGCCTCCTCCGTAAAGCGCTGGAGGAAGCCGCGCTGATTCCCCAGGTATTTAATGCGCGCCCGCCCGCCCGCCCGCCCGCTCCGAATAGAACGAGCGGCCGCTGCCGTTGCCGCTGCGTCGCGGTGCGGTACGAGCTATGAAATTTAGATGTTATGCGAGACACGCGAATGCGCGAATTAAGGTAATAATCGAGCGCACCAGGCGTTGTCTCTCTCTCGTGCGCGTTCCTCGGGATGCCTGCGACACCGTCGTCAATGAGGCCGTGACGCAAATATCGCCAACTTGCATGTAATAATTAATAATTAATCGCTTTGAAATTAAGTGGAAGAGAGCGGAAAGACAGCGCGTGAAATAAGCGCTATAAGAATTCTCTTCGCGAGAGCAGCCCCGTCTGTCGATACAAAGTCGATCGCTAAAAGCGAACAGCTTGTGTCTCCTTCTCTCGTTGCGTTAACCTCGCTTATAAAATACATGCGATTCTCCGCAACGAATTTCACGACGGAGCTGAATGTTACATTATTTCCCGTGCACGGCCAATTGCCTTGCGTCTCGCCTTTGTTTTCCTGCGCAGGT